TAATGTGCAGGTAATGATGAAAGTCTAAATATAGCATAGTTTATCAGTGCTGTATTTAACGTTAGCAGAGGTGACAAGGATTTCTAATATTTTAGGAGAAATTTTGAAGCAACTGAAGGAAGAGTTTGCCTTAAACATTTTTTCATTTGAGTTGAAAATCATACCAGAAGAATCAGTGCTGGAGCTCTGTGCACTGTAGTTTGTGACATTTTAACATGGATGAAAAAGCTCTTAATGATGCTAACTGAAGGAATTGCCAAAACATTCAGTGTTTTCATTTGCAATCAGGTCTTTGGCTCTCACACAGTTTTCTTATTTACAATTTTATTCAAAAGGAGCTGATGTTATTGTGTTTTAATCAAAACTGTAAACCCAAGGAAATCCCAAGAAGTTCACACTTGAGCTCCGCTGTTCTCTGCTGTGGCTGCTGGGTTAAGTACATGAATTTATGAGCACGAGCATTTATGAGCTGGTTAATGTGCAACCAAAGGAGAGCTTAGCTTCATGTGATATCTTGATGTGAACTTTTAGCTTCCGCTGGCGTATCAGCCACTTTTACTGCAGCAGTGGATTAGGTATTACCGAGCCCTTTGTACAAGCTTGGAGAGCGCTTGTTTCTTTTCTCCTCAGATATGCAGGGACTGAAGTTCAGTGCAGTGTCTAAGTCATCTTCTGGTCATAATGGAAGCCAAGAGTGAACGAAGAAGTGAGAGGTCAAAGGTAAGAAAAGCTTTAGCTTTCAATTTGTGATCTAAGATGGTTATATAACACTGTAGTGTTCAGACTCGCAGGCAGGGATTGTGTGAGTTATATGACACAAAGACAAGCATAAGCGACGTAACGCTGAACATAAAACAGCAAGATAGTCCGATCTGTGATTTAAGCACCGACTGCAATGCACATTAAGGGGACTTAAAAGATTGCTCACTTACTTTGTAAATGTGTGGGGTACCAGCAGATGCAGGGCTTGGTGGTCTTGGTTGGGAAATAAAAGAGCTTTGATTCTGAAGTGTTTAACAGCAGTCAGCATTCACAGGCTCTTTTCAATTCTGATCTATAAGATCTGGAAGATTCTTGCACTCTTTATTCTCAAGGGTGTTCTTAACTTTCTAAGGAACCAACCCATGATTGTTTCATTACATTAACTTCAATGTACGGCTTAGGAATAATGTTTCCCCCCCTTCTATTATTGTGGAAATGACTTTGGGTGAAACTTTTAATATCTCTGCACATTTTGCAAATAAATGTAAGCACAATCTGCCAACACCTTCTCCACTGGAAGCTTGAACGCCCGGTGCGGTAAACCTTCGATAATGTCAAGCGTTCTTCAAGTGTCGGTATGAGTAGGCGCAGAACGAGAGATTTAGCCACAGAAAAGCATCTGACTCCTTTCCAAAAGCACTCGGAGCTCCCTCAGTCCAATTCCCCCATCTGCTAGTTGTAACGGTTGTAAAATGAATAATTGGTGTCAAGTGGTCCCTGTAATGCCCACTGTGCTGCTGAGGACTCAGACATAAACACAACTGTGATTGGCTTCTATAAATCACAATCAGGACACCGAGTGAAGCTGGGGTCTGTCTCAGTGGCTTTTTTTGACTCTGTGGTGTATTGTACACACACACACACCTCCCTTTCCACCTGCATCAAGTGTGACAGCTGGGAAGAAATGAGAGGGGGCGTATCTAACACCGTGGCACTGTAAATATCGAGATAGAAGATGGCAGGTGTGTTCATACCTGGGTGTGGTAACAAATACATCCAGCCCTCTATGCCTCGCACTGCAGCTTGCGCATAAGAGGAAAAGGCAGCGGTATCTTATAAATACAGACCTTTTACATAAATCACTATCTCCACAACTTGTAGGAACCAGCCAGGACTTCACCACGGCAGTCACAGGACAACGTAAGACCCATCCTACTACTATTTCTTTGAAAATAGCTACCTTGTTTTCTGCTTTGTGAACACACCTCTATTTATTTTCACTGACTCAGTGAAATCTGGAAAGAATAACATCTTTATTATCACATTTAAGGATTTTATAAACACAGGTTTGGGGGGGCGGGGGGTTAACCAACGTGATTTTACACGAGTTGAAGAAATACGTACGGTGCAGCATTAACAAAAGTGATTGTGTATGCTCCACCAAAGGACAATGCAGGTTAATTGATAGGGAACCAGTCTTTCCTGTCTGAGTAATAGAAGCAATGCCGCTCGCAGGTTTATCTTTCCTGTGTTATTTGCTCAAGTTTTCAGTAATTGTTTTAAGCAGGGATCAGATTGCACAGTTTATTTATTTTTTATAACAGGGATTTGCAACCACAGCTGAAGCCACTGATAACTGGCAACCAGGCGTGATCGTAGTTGAGGTGATTACTTTCAATTAATCAAATATCACAGTGGCGTCACTTCTTCATCTAGATGTTTGTTTTTTATCCGTATGTTATAAGGAATAATCTCTGTGTACATACACTTTACAGCTGAATGTGTGCTCTGTTTGAAATGGAACTATGGCATTCCTGTCAAACTCTAATGGGTAATGGACAAACGTGCAGGGCAGGGTGTACCTTGTTTTTAAGAAAAGGGAAATAAAATTTGGGGACTACGTTTTAACAATAAAATAATAAAATAAATAAAAAGAATGACATTTAAATATGTATCGTGTTTATTTCTCAAGCTGTTAACAGACGCCCTCCAGTCTCATGGCTGATAGTAAGGTCACAGGGCACGACCAAAGTTTAGCACGAGTTTACAGACACTTTGAGATTGCATTACTTTTTAATTTAGACAAAGTTGAGTTGAAAAGCAATAAAACACACCCTGTTTTTGTTCACTGGACTTGGGTCATTATGTTTGATAGAGCCCTCCCTGTTTTGACCTTTATCTAGATAAATTTTTGCTGTGTAGCTGATATTTCAATCGACTCATTACGATAGGATATTTTAAGTCTTTATGTTTTTGTCAATATTACACCTGTACTTCACATGTACATTTGGCAACATACACTTTTGGCACCTAGCTCTACTGGATGCCTAAACTTGGATTATCTCTTTTTAAAGCTGCTCATACGCAACCTGATTAATTGCTTTATAAGCTAACATAAGACGTTAGCTTAAAATTAGCTATTTAAGCTCAAGTGCTGTCTCTTCATTTTCAAATCTCACCTGCTTCTTTTGTTTGTCGAGTGTGTGTCACCGCTTTATCAGAAGACATAAATACCAGAGCCTGTTAATAATACTATAAAAGGTGTGGTTAACTAAGTGTTCATCTCACACCACCAATCACTGCCCGGGTAGATATTTTATTACTAGACCCGGAACAAAGATTAGAGCTAGTACATGTAATAGTGCTTTATATTACTTCTCCCAAGAATAAGTTCAACCACATCTACTCCAGCTGTTTCACAATGTCATATTATGGCATCAGTGTTGCAAGTGCGTTCATAATATGTTCTTGTTTCCATACAGCCTAACGTTGGCTCAGCTGGTGATACTGTTTGCTTATCAGTGCTGTTGTTTCTGATATCCCAGTCAAGAGGCTGTTAAAGCACCGCTGATTGCAGGGCTTGTATTTTCCTACAGCACCAAGCTGATACTCATTAGCAGGATTAGAGGTGCTTTGCTGTCAGAGAGTCAGTCCTTTGAAAGCATTCACTTGTCATTTTGGAGACATCTGTTTCCAGTGAAAAGACAGCGATGCCAGGATGAGTAAGAGTGAGGAAGAGGTCTCTAAAGTGAAATATTTTTTTTCTGTTCAAGTGCTGTTTAAGGAGTCAGGAGTGAACATGTATTTTTCAGTGTGCTAGTTAGTCTTCTAAGTATTTATCTCTTCAGAGTTTGTGCTAATTTTATATCATTTAGCTGTTTTATTTTACGTTACTTTTTTCTTCTTCTTTTTGCAAAAAACAGTTAAAAACAAACAAACAAACAAACAAACAACAAGCTTCAATTAATTCTTATAGTTTTTACTCTTTTTCCACACCTAGCTAGCTATTACCTTTTGCTGAAAAGCTAAAACAAGCTAGTGGTGGTGTCAGTGGACAACATGAATAAAAAGGAGATCATTATGTAACAGGGATAGCTTATTTTAATCACATGGCAAAACACAGTGAAAGGTCCATTGACTGTAGCCACCATGATGTCATCTCTTAAGTTCTGCTTTTTTACCCTCTTTTTTTTTTTTTTTAAAAGGCCGTGACCATATTTCTTGTTGTAGTTAATCAGTTTATGCTAACGCTATCAACCTGGTTTGATTAATAAGGTGTATGCATTAATGACTGTGTATTAAGTGGGTTGCTAGCCTTGGCTAACAAAAATACAAGCTTAAAAGCAAGTGCAGAAAACCTGTTATTTTTAAAAATTTTTTTTCTTTTTTACTACAGTCAAACAGTGAACGTCCTCTTTCATTTTAAATATTGTCATAATTTACTAAATGAATATTGCCCTGTGTTGTGCTTACTAACTAACTAACAAGATCATAAACTCATTAGAAGAGTGTTTACTACAGTAGTAAAACCATGTCAGAGGTTTCTTGTGGACATTACAACTTCTTTTCGCATTATGAAAAGCTGCCCCCTTCTGGCCATTAAAGCTAGTGTAGGTTAAAGGCACTTACATGTACAGTGACATCATTTTGTAGAACTAGAGGTTATGTCCGTCTTATATCTTATAAACATATCTTATAAACAGATACCTGGTTATAACCGTGGTATAACAAAAAAACTTTTCGCTAAGCGTCTTAACAGCTTGCTGTCACATTGTGGCATAAAGATGTGTTTTTTGGGGCATTAACAAATGTGATGACACAGTATGTAAACCCTAGCAAACCTACATTCAAATTTAACAGTGAGAATATTTTGAGTTTAATCTATAACAATTAAGACATTAGACGCTCATCAATAGTTTTCATGCAAATATGTAAACTGTTTGTGACAATAACGATAAGTACACATGTTTTTTTTTTTGTTTTTATGTTTACAGTTCAGCAGAATGATGAATGAAAACAATAATGCATTTAAAAATGTCCGCCGAAAGCCAGGCCTTCAGATATGGACCGTCAATGTGAGTCTAAAACGCATTACACGCACCCTATGTTGTTGACATTGTTGTCCACACTGCTGAGCTTTATGTAGAGCTGCGGCATGTTGAAATCTCATATTTGTTTGAGGTCTAAATGGTTGTTTTCTTTACTCAGAAAATGCAAATGGATCCCGTTCCACCTCAGGCCTTTGGCAATTTCTTTGAGGGAGACTGTTACATAGTTCTATATGTGAGTAAAAAACTGGGTGATTTCATGAGATATATAAATATATATACATATATCTCATATATGTGTCACCTCTCATGCTTTTCATTATTATCATCAGATAAGTGAGAATAAAGGCTCCCGCCAGTCTGCTGATATCCACTACTGGGTTGGAAGAACCTCCTCTCAGGATGAACAAGGTGCTGCTGCCATCTACGTCACCCAGCTGGACGAGTACCTGGGTGGGAGTCCGGTCCAGTACAGGGAGGTGCAGGGCTACGAGTCACCGCGGTTCAGGAGTTACTTCAAAAATGGCCTGATGTGAGTTCCCGATGAAGGCAGCTGGTGTTTGAACGAAAGGGGGATGGTGATATACTCAAGGGAATGAGTCTCTCCTATACACACACAAAAACACACACACTTATGTTGTAATCTTCCTGAGTCATGGCTTACAACACTAATCCGCCTCTATGAAATGATTATGACACAAAACACACTTGTTTTCTGAGGCCTAGCATTAAAAAACACCAATTTCTCTTGCCCAATTTATTAACCTTTAACCTTTAGTTGCATGTTTGCTTTATGGTTATACAACCTTAAGGAAAAAAAACAAAACGAAAAAAAAAAAAAAGGTCCCTTAAATTTTTTATTTTTTTAAATGTCCATTCAGTTTCAAGTCACTGGGTTTATATTTTTATTGCACTTGAACTTTGGTAAAGTAAACTTCTCTCTCCACAGCTACAAGAAGGGTGGAGTGGCCTCAGGTTTCAACCACGTTGAAACAAACGCCTACAACGTCCTGCGACTGCTGCATGTCAAAGGGAGGAAGGATGTCACAGCAACAGAGGTATTCAGAAAACAAATTAAAGGGATATGAAAGGCTTTACGAGAGTCTTACTCCCTGCCTCCCTCTGCTGCTATCAGTGGCTTCACACAGTCACGCTACAGAGAGGTGTTGGCACCCCTCCTTAAACAGATTATGTCTTGTTGTCGTAGCTGTCTGTGTAGGTGTTAATTGCCCGAGGGGTGGTATGAGAGTGTGATTAATTAATACGCTGTATTGTTTCAGACGGAGTGTACTGTCCGTTTGAATGAAGCACAATCAGTTATTCAACTCTCCACTGTGTTTGCGTTTGTGTGTGTTTTTCCATGCAGGTGGAGGTGTCATGGAGCAGCTTTAACAAAGGAGATATATTTCTTCTGGATATCGGGAAAGCTATAGTGCAGTGGAACGGTCCCCAGAGCAACAGAAGAGAGAAGCTCAAGGTAATCCTCTGCACTGATTGGTTACAATAAGCAGCGGCACGAGAAGTAGTCAGATCTCATGAAAAATACACACCGTGGAAGCAAAGTGGGAAAGAGGAAAGAAATTTAACATTTTACGAACAGAAAGGTGATAAAATATGTCTGCACTAAGGCTGTTTCTGACAAAGGGAGAATGACTAGATTGACTAATGACTAATTTAATTTATTCTTGTGTGTCAAGTGAATTTTATGAACTCAGGGCCTCGGTTGCATTAGGAAGGACATAGAAGGTGTGCCAAATCAAACGTGCATCCATCCACTGTGGCAAACCCTTGGAAAATTAAGGAGCACTGAAAGTGTCTGTAAAGTGATTTTTTTTTTAATTCTTGAAACCTGTCGGCTGTGGATCTTCAATAATGTACACCACTGCCTTTAGCAGTAAGCTTCCAGTTGTCTGTGAAATTGGAAACATGCATGCAAGAAGAGTTAGGAAGGAATGGCAACAACAGAAAAGGATAAACCAACAGCTATTTTTTATTTATTTTGAAAAGCGCTATATAAGAATCAGTCCATTTACCTTTTAGCTCATCAGGTAAAACAGGTGGTTTGATCTCCGCCTGCTCCCGTCTGCATGCAAAAGTTTCCTTGGGCAAAATACTGAACCCTGAGTATCAATGTTAGATAAACATTAGGCACAGAAAAAGTGCATGTGTTTGAATGAGATATGTGTACTATATAACAACCAGTTCTTTTACAGTGATAGTGTAGATTTTTGTGTAACACATGAACCTTTTAGTCGCTGTTGTCACTGAGCGAACAGTTTTCACTTTTGTGTCTTTGTTTCTCCCTCCGTCTTTCCAGGCGGTCTTGTTGGCTCAGGACATCCGGGACAGGGAACGCGGAGGTCGCGCTCAGATCGGTGTTGTGGAGGGAGGAGATGAGCGGAGCTCGCCCGAGCTCATGAAATTCCTGACGACTGTGCTCGGACCAAAACCGGCACAGCTGAAGGAGGCCACTTCCGATGATGTGCCTGATAGTGCGCAGAAAAACAGTGTCCGACTCTACCAGTAAGTACATTATGCTTCCACTGCATTGATCACACAAAACTGTAGAAATTGATTTCAACTATTTACCAATATCACACCCATTTTTCCTGATTTTCTTCCTCAGCGTTTATGACAATAGTGGGAATCTAGTGATTCAAGAAGTGGCCAAACAACCTCTGACACAAGATCTTCTGAAATCCTCGGTAATTAGTGTTCACTCTTTGAGAATGTTCCCTAGATGCTAGTATTAAAAAAGAAAAGTGGTTCAGTTTCAATGTTTTTTTTCTTTTGGGGTTTCAGGACTGTTTCATTCTGGACAACAAAGGGTCTAGTGTGATGGTCTGGAAAGGAAAGAAGGCCTCCAAAGAAGAGCGACAAGGAGCTATGAATCGGGCACTGGTGAGTATACAGAATGACTGTATAGGATCTCTTAGTGCCTCCTGTTCTGTCTTATAAATTAATTGTGTAAATTTTAATCCTCTTTCTCCTTAAATGATTTTGGATAAATATAAATTCATCGTTTTATTCTTTTCCAAGGATCGCATGGCTTGAGGGGATTATCTCAGTTTTTATGTGCTTTTTTGGAGATGTTTTTCATTACAAGCTTTGTCCATCAATCTTTTCCTACAGAGCTACATTAAAGCAAAAAAGTACCCAGCCAGCACCACTGTGGAGGTGATGGCTGAGGGAGCAGAGTCAGCAATCTTTAAGCACCTGTTCAAATCCTGGACAGACAGAGACCAAACTCAGGGCCTGGGTACCACACACAACGTTGGAAAGATAGGTAGCCTCTTCAAATCTACTGCTCAATCCACTTCTTCAAAATAAATTCCAGCACAGTTAACATATTATCTCTTGATATGCTATTTAATCTTATTTGCTGATATTATGCTGTTCATCATTAAGTCTGAACATTTTGTGTCCGCACAGCTAAGGTCGACGACGGAAAGTTTGACGTGATGGAGCTCCACGCGCGCCCTGAACTGGCAGCACAGTACCGCATGGTGGACGATGCATCAGGAGACGTTAAGGTGGGAAAACATATGCAGGAATCTACGAATACAGACAAACACAGTGCAGATACTTTTCAGACTTCAGTTGCATTGTTGCGTGTTGTTTGAGCTGTTGTTTGCCTGTGTCAGGTGTGGTGCATTGAGAATTTGGAACTGGCTGAAATAGACCCAAAAACCTACGGGCAGTTTTATGGAGGAGACTGCTACTTGGTGCTGTATTCATATAAAAGAGCAGGCCAGCAGCAGTACATACTCTACATGTGGCAGGTCAGTGTCAAACCAATCTATGCTTCCTTGTTCTCCATTTCCTCCTGCTTCTGGAAAACTGACAAGCACCTTCAATGTGTAAACGTCTTTTCTTTGTTACTTCAGGGACGCCATGCCACAAGCGATGAGATTGCAGCAAGCGCCTTCCAGGCTGTCAATATTGATAACAAGTACAATGGAGCCCCAGTTCAGGTCAGAGTGGTCATGGGAAAGGAGCCGCGCCACTTCCTGGCTATTTTCAAAGGCAAACTTATCATTTTTGAGGTATGATTTTATGATTTTCACACTGAAAATAATTCTTAACTGGATTAGAAATTCTCACCAACGACTAAAAGTAAAATATCTGTATGGTTTGTGTGTGAAATTATGACACATGGAAGTAATCCAGCAAAATCTAAATTAAAAATGAGTTTTACATGGATACAATAAAAGTATCCATGATGCAAAAATAGATCGATCAAAGCTTTAAATAAAAGTTGAAAGAAACTGGAAACTCAATGTGTGTGTGTCTAAAGGGAGGAACAGGTCGACCTGGTGTGGTTAACCCTGCCAAAGATGCCAGGCTCTTCCAGGTGAGAGGGACTAATGAGCTGAATACTAAAGCCACAGAGGTGGTGGCCAGGGCCGCTTCTCTAAGCTCCAATGACGTCTTCCTGCTGAAAACTGACAATATCTCCTACCTGTGGTATGGAAAGGTATGCATCATGGGGCTGTGTAGCAGGCTTTGAAATAACATGAATATTAGTTTAGTTTGCATTTGACACATTAAAACCATTTCCCCCCTGATTTCTGCTTCTATCCCAGGGCTGTAATGGGGATGAGAGAGAGATGGGGAAAGCGATGTCTGATGTGCTGTCCAGGCATGAGAAGCGGGTGGTGATGGAGGGCCAGGAACCTGCTGAATTCTGGATAGCTTTGGGTGGAAAGGGCTCCTATGCCAGTGACAGGAGGTAAAATATTTTAATGGCAGCATCGCTTTTGCATATTGTGACAAAAATAGGATATTTTTGGCTTTTCGCTTAACAACACACTCCAGCAGTCAAGTATTTACAATGAAGGGCACTCAATCTGGGTCCAGAAAGTAAAAATATAGCCAGTAATAACAAATTAGCAAGGACTTCAGGATTCATCCAAAAAGGCCCTTTAATCATATTTTGAACCATTTCCAAGCTTACATTAAATCTGCCTGGATTATTTTTATACCAAGGTCAGTGGAATATGCCCAATGTCATCATACACAGAGAGAGAGTGAGAGAGAGAGAGAGGGAACATTATCTGCTGTTACGACAGGACGGCCTGTGTCATTTCAGATTTGAGAGGGAGGAGCCGCTTCACAGTCCCCGGCTGTTCGAATGCTCCAATCAGACGGGGCGCTTTAAGATTACTGAGGTGGATGATTTCGCCCAGTGTGACCTAGATGAAGATGACGTCATGTTGCTGGACACCTGGGAAGAGGTAAGCAATCAAAGGAGCTGAAATCAGTCAGACCCTGCCGTTGATTTGGGGCCTGCTTCCTGTTTATGAGCATCTCATCAGGAAGATTGTGAAACTCACTGCACATTAACTGATAGATATGAAACAAACACTATACTGTATTACACAAGCTTATTGTTTCCTCCTGCTATGGTTTCTAATTAATCTATACTGGTGGTAGTGACTCAGCTCAAGGTTATTTATGTAATACTTCACACGGAAAGACAGAATCAGGCCTAAAGCTCAGTTTTTGGCAACTTACGCAGCAGACTCTTTGAGTAATTTGTCTCTTTTTCTTGTTTTTTGTCTCTGAATCTCAGCTTTTCTTGTGGATCGGTAACTCCTCCTATGAGTATGAGACCAAAGAGGCGTTGAACAGCGCGCGGGATTACCTGAGAACTCACCCGGCTGGACGTGACCCTGACACGCCCATCGTCTTTGTCAAACAGGGATACGAGCCGCCCACCTTCACCGGATGGTTCAACGCGTGGGATCCCCACAAGTGGAGCGTGAGTTTATAACAGTTTCCCCTTTCATCTTTCTGGGATCCCATAGAAAGCATGATCAAGGCATTACAAATTCCCATTACAATAACATGCAATCAATTGATTTAATCATCTCAGAAGCTAGGAACAACTTACAAACACAAGTGGATGATTCAATGGATTAATTGAAGATGAAAAAGTCACTGCACGAATACTAACCTTTACTGTGACGAATCTTGGTTCCGTTGATCTTCTGAACAGGGAGGCAACTCCTATGAGGAGATGAAAAACAAGCTGAGTGATTCAACATCTATCTCACAGATCACTCTAGTAAGTGACTCACACTGATGTGCTAATATCACAGCTGTAATACCTACTAACATCTTTAATGTCATATATAGTAGTGTTGCTAACCTGTGAATGTCTACATCTCGGAGGTTTACCTTTGTTTTTTTGTGAAACTGCTTCTGTAAAACTTCTCTTTCGTGGCTGCAGGACCTGAAGAACACTAAGCTGAACAAGACTCCCGTTGGGGGAGGTGGGGGTGGTTACAGAGCACCTGGGGGCCCCCTAACTTCTCCGCCACCCAACAAGGCCTACTTCCAAGATGAAACAGATTTTTTCCCCAGACCCTCTAGTCCTACAAGACCCCAGTCTGGGATGTCCTCCTCCTCTGCTAGTTCCTTGTCCTCTTCTGGAGCTGGAAGGTTTTTTGACCCTGAGCTCCTCGTCAACAAGACTCCAGACGAGCTACCAGAAGGAGTGGATCCCACCCAGAAAGAGGTGTGTGTGCAGATCAATTATAAATGGTAAAAATCAGCATTTGATTATTGTTTAACATCCTTCTCAGGGCATTAATTAACACCTTTAAAAGTGACGTCTAATCATGACAATTACAATTTAGAAGTTATTGTTTTGGGGGGTTTTTTTTAGTAAAATTAATCACGTCACCATAAAAAAGACTTCAATATGATTCGACACCTATTTAGTATGTTTACCTGCAGCAAAGCAGATTTTTGTGACTGTACTGCCATTTCAAGTCAAAACTCCACAGCCACCAATCGTGTGATATGTTGTTTAGCATACACAAAAACATAATATGCACTAGTTAGCAAGTTAAAAGTATTATTTCCATCAGATGGGATTCTTTCATTGCTCTGAATTTGGATTAACATGTAGTAATATAAATGAAGCTATTTTAATCATCAACTGAAAAGGTCACTAAACAGCTGCAAATGGATGAAAAGTGACTACGAAGAGATTAAAAGTGACTGCAGAGCCGCATAAAATGCTTCTAGCGAGTCATGAACAACCACAAAAAGACACAAAAACACTACAAAGAGACAATATGGGGCTTTCCAAGAAAGGGTGGGAGGCCTTGCCATTGTCTGTGCCTAGAGCTCTGTGTACAGCAGAGGTCAGTCTAACCGTTTCCCATCCTCTGTGCTCCGATTGGCAGGATTATTTATCTGACCTGGACTTTGAGAACCTGCTCAGTACTACTCGCGCAGACTTCCAGCGCTTGCCAAAGTGGCGCCAGAATGATTTAAAGAAGAAAGCAGGAATTTTCTGAGAAGGAATCACACATCTCCAGCCTGTCTGCTGAGAAATCCGCTTGTAAACCAAACTATACGGCAGCATTTTAGCTTCTGACCTTCATCTCAATATTTTGTTTTGCTGTCAGAGGGGTAAAAAAAAAATCGACCAACATCCCAAGTTGTTTAGATTTAACAAATGGTATTTATGATTATGACCATGAATGTAACTTGTAATAATTTAAAGGACGTGACTGACATTTCTAAGATTATTTTTTTTAATTATTCTGCTTTATATTTATCTGTATATTTTTTTTTCATTTCATGTAGATCATACTGAGATGATGTTTTGCTAGCATTTTATCTGAATCACAAATGCAGTGAATAAACAGAAAACCATTGACCGGGGATTCGGGGAGTGGTTTAATTCAAGAGCTAGTGCAAAAATGTGTGAACTGTAAAAATGCTGTAGAGCAATGGAAGACACAAATAAACCATGACACAAAATATTAGAACTTGTTTCAGGCACCATCTTGAAAATCTTCTATATACAATGCTGGGAGCATTCATAATGCATTCATAATGAAAGGACAGAAGCACACAGACATACCATGTCACTTGCTATCAACATTGTCATTATCACTCTTATGGCATCAAGATGGACAAAGTTTAAATCAAGTCTCATAAGACTATCCCGTAAAGCTGCTGAGAATCTAGTATGTTTCAGGTGGGATTCACACAAAACTCACATAATAATGCACATTAATTATTAAACTTCTCCAGAGAATGGTGAATATAGTTGGCTACTTTTCCTCTCATTCACTTCATTCTTTCTTTGTCACTTTAAAGGCTCTCCACCAAACCGGCTTTTAAAAAGCTAAAATTATACAATGACCTAAAAGTGTCAGACACTTGTGAGTCAGCAGCTGTGGTATGTAAAAAAACAAAACGAAAACTAGAGTCAAGTTATTTAGCTTTAAAATCTGGGTTTTAAATTCCATTAGAATTTACAAAAGACGTGAAGTTGGTTTGGTTTTCTTTTTGCAAACAGGCCTACGGGGCATCCAGGAGCATGAGGTGCACAAACAGACTGGCAGAAGAAATGTTGTCCCCTCTCTTGTTGAGCACCGGGACATGGCGATATCCTGGAAAACAGGAAGCGAGCGTGAGCTTTGTCGGCAAAATGAGAAGCTGTTTCATGAAGCGTAGCACAAAAAAAGATGCAAAACAATCACTTGAGCTATGATTTACATGAATTTGTATCTGTTTAATTTCTGTTTTGTTGCGGTCCACACAGAAGAATTAAATAAGGGAGAAAAAGTATGTTTAAAGTGGAACTAAAGAAGATAATAATGTGATAATAGTGCACAAAGAAAGTCAAAGCTGTGAGCGAGCACTGAAAAGAGAGGATACTGTCTTAACACTTCCATATTTTAATTACCGCACAGACCATTTCAGTCATCGGCCTCTTCGAAAATTAGATTGTTGCTAACTCTGAGTTGGTGTCGCGTTGCTTTATCGTGTTAGCTTCATCAAATCTGTGAGCTTTCTTACCGTTCTGTACGCTGGTGAGTGGCAGACAGTACTGCCCGATAAAATCGTTCTGCGATGCTGTGTCGTGGTCCTCCAACAGAAATCGCACCAAGGCCAGCTCTGGCACACTGATGTCAAACTGGAATTTCTTATTCCACATAGGGTTGAATCCTGCAAGGACGAATATCTGTGTTTTTCTAAATTCTTTGAAAAAGTGTTTGACAAGTAAGTGCACTTATGCTATACTTGCACATATAACGCTCACCATTATTTTCAATGTGATGTGTTTCCTTGCTGGCATTGTCTGCCTGGACACCATGGATCTCCACCTTGACCAGAGGGTCTACAATGGATTTTTGCTTTTCCTTGTTGATTTTAGGTAACTGCTGAGCTGAGATCACCTGTTGAATTGTGAGACAAAAATGCACAGACGCGATCACGTGACAGTCCGACTACAGTCTACGTTCAGATTTGATTAGATATCTACAGCATGATGTCCAGCTTCCACAGCACGCTTCGATGCTTTCACCACCAGCATGATGATTAATCTGTTTATCAAGTGGTGGCATAATCAGTTGTTAAAAAAGGCTAAAAATCCACTTTCTTTATTTTAAGTGCTACTAGCTACTGTGCAGATCATAACTAGAAATACAAAATGTAATAAAAGGACTTGAGGATTAAAAAACATTAAAAGTAGCTCCTCTTTTCAAGATAGGTTATGTCACTAACTATTCAGCCAATGATTGTGTTAAAATTCCCTTAAATAGCTGCAAGCTGGCAAACAAAGATAAAAGGATTCAAACTTCTAGGCCAGAGCTAGGGGAAATGATTAAAGCTCATTAGCAAGTTGACACTACACATACTGTAAACTTTGTGAACTTTGTTTTCTTTTAAAAGGAAATTCCACAGGACACCGTTAACCTCTAATATAGGCTTATCTTTCTGGAAAAAACTCCCACCATGACATGAAAGATCTTCTTCTTCAGCCACGACCCTTCGGTAAGTGTGTTGGGGTTAAACTGAGAGGACAGGTTTCTCTGAAATTCAGGTTTCAGGATGTAGCCGCAGAAGCCGTTCATCAGAAACCGTCCCTGGTTTAAGTGCATCTCCTTGGAGTTAGTCTGGAAGTTCAACGCCACTAAAAACCAAATCAAAGAGGAAAAAGCATCAAACTGTTTCATTAGTTTTAATTGGTTTACGTTAGTTTGCTTGCTGCGTATTGGAGCACACCTATCTGGCAGCCAACGTTCCACATGGGCACCGGATTATAGTTGGAGGAGTCGGTTCTGGAGCCAGCAGGGTAGATCCTGCTGAGTTTGTCCATGTTGTGGTGCATGAAGGCAGTAGCTACAACAAGTTAAAGCAAATGGTTTTTTTAAACTGTGAGTTCTAGCATGACAGCAAAGAGAGTTAATGCAGCGTGCGTTTACCTGAGGTCTCAGCCAGGTTGAATGCTTTACTCTCCTTGAAGGACGACATTTCATAGAAGGCCTGGTTTTCTCTGGCGTGTTCAAAGCTGTTAAAGTGCACGCTCTTACAGTAGATGACGATGTCTGAGAGCTCTTTGTCGAGTTTGATATTTGATTTCTGAAACAAGAACAGAGAGACAAACGTGAAATCTGAAACTGAAAATTGTTATTTCAATTTCTTGTAAATGAGTAAAGAGCCTTTGGCACACCTTTGGTTTTTCTTTCTGGCTATTCTCCTTACACTCTGCAGCTTCGTCCTCCTCAGACACGGTGCCATCCTCTATCACGTTGTTATTGGTGAAGATCGAATCCAGTTTGTTCAGTCGTTTTCCCTTGATGAGGAACTTTCCCTTAAGTGCCTACAAAGAGACACAAAATGTGTTTTGTTGTGTCATTTCTAACACTTAAGGTGCTGTGCTTTGGAAATCAAAGTTGCTTTGCTTAATATAGAAAGGCACACATTTAACTTTGTGACAACACAGACTGCGTTCCTGATAGTCACCCTCCAAACAGCCAACAGACTAAAGCATAACTTAAATTTGTGTTGAGGCTGAAAATGCCACAGGCATCCACTTCATGGGAGCTGAATTTTTAAAAAAAATTTATTTCCTCTCTCTCTCTCTATTTCTTGTCTTTTTCAGTTGTCAAGGTCTTCCAATAATTTTGCAGCAAATTCCCAAAGTAACACATAAAAGTGGGGGAAATAATGATTTGAGACCCCTGCCGAATTTGTAAGTTTGCGTACTTACAAGGAAATGAACAATCTGTAATCTTTATGCTAGTTTCTTTTAATGGAAAGGGACAGACTGTTATTTAAAAAATCCAGAAAAAGTACAATAAGCAGAAGTTAGAAACTGATTCAGCCGTCATTGAGGGATGTTTTTAATCCCTTTTTATCCTCAACCAAAACATGACTTAGTACTTAGGTTCTTGTAGTTGTCTCAGCAGGGGTTTTGGCATTCATCTTTACAAACACGCTCTAAATCTTTTAGCTTTCTTCCCAAAAAGTTGATTCTGGTTATCTGGATTTACTTTTCTCCCACTCCCAATGAGTGACCAAACGTTTCTCGCACTGAAAACCCTACGCCCACTTTTGGGGATTTTCTTACCTGAAATTTTAGCTTTTTGGCAACTCAAACTTTCAGCTCCCTCTCCAGCTTTTCTGAAGGACTGAGGTCTGGAGACTGGGTAGGCCTCTCCGTGAGCTAATGTGCTTATTCTTTAGCCACTTATTTGTTGCCTTGACATAATGGTTTTGGTCACTGATTTGAATGCTGGGTCATGCTGGAAGACCCATCCATGACCCATACTTATATATATATTTTTTATAAATATTCAGGGAAGGAGGTTGTCATCCAAGATTTAATGATATATGGCTCTGTCCATTGGCCCCTCAATGAAGTGAAGTCATTCTGTACCCTTAGCAGAAAAACAGCCCCAAGCATAAAGCTTCCACCTCCGTGCTTGACTGTGGGGATGGTGTTTTCTAGATCATATTCACCGATTCTCCTGTGGAGAGGTTGGAATGGAAAAAAATTGTTTCTGTGGACAGGTGAGCTTTATACACATAAGAACCCAGTCAGTGGGAATCAGCATTGTGGCTGGGTTGTAGGTGATCAACACTTATTTCATGTATGACATGTAAATCTGTTTCTAGCATTTATTATTGTATTGTATTGTATTTGGAGACTAAATTCTGTTCACTAGAAGTCTCTGTTATCAAACAAGGTGTTGTCTCAAACACACTCACTCAGCTGTTACAGCAAATCATTAGCTACTCAGTAGGTGCAAAGTGAGACAAGCTTTATCTGAGGCTATAGATCGATGATGTCTTGTATCACATTAGCTTTGTTTCCTAAACAAAACTTGGGTCACGTTAAGGAAAACAGCAAAGTGAGAAATCTGGCACAGTAGCGTGTTAGGAATGAAAATGTTAAGGGGTGGTCTTCCTTTGGTAATTTTTTTTTATTAGGGTAAGGATCCCAAGATGATATATCGTATGTCATTGAATACAGATAATGGGTTCCACACCTCAGGTGATGGGAAGTTAGTTGGCATGGTGTCACCCAGAGGCTTTTTGACCAGAGCGTCACCCAGGAAGAAGACCAAATGACGGGCCATAAGCTTCTGTTGCTCAACTGTACAATGGTTCTCCAGAGACAGAATCACTGGGTACTGGGAAGTCTGGAAAACAAAGGGAACAATGTGAAGGTGAACTTCAGACCTTTTCCAGTTTCTAATGTGTTAAGGCGAGGAAAGGGCTGGGAATTCAATGCGGTCTCCAATATAGGCAGAGTAAAACATCCAAAGTCAGTGAATATCTCACGAACTTTGAAGGCGTAGTCTTTGATGGCTTTGATAACATCTTTGAAGAGCACTTTGGATGTGAGCGTATGGCCATGGTAAATAACAGGTTCTCCATTAGGCCCGTCCCAACAGTCCAGCTCCACGCATCGGCAACTCTTCATCAGCGCTCTGCAAGCAAAGAAAACATTCATGACCAATTAGTGATTTTACATCCCTGAAACTCATGAACTTTGCCTGTGAAAATAGAGAGATTCCTGCGCTGTGACTTCTGTTCCACCAAAAACTCCTGGATCCCAAAACAGTATTTTATAAAGGCCTAGGAACTACTAGGGTGGTCTAAAGCAGGCATGGCAGAACTTCAGTTCAGTCTACCTGGAGGCTGATGCATATTTTTAAAAAATAAGCCATTAATATGATAAAAAAAAAACATCTATCCAAAGTAGCACATTTATTCCATGCTTCTATTTCACCTTTGTTTAATGCTGTCGGTATAAAAGTAATTCTGCAAAATTTACTTTATGTAGGCTTCTGTGCTGCTTGGCCCTTTGAGTTGGTCTGCCATCAGGTATGTGTTGTGTGAGGAGGAGATGTAGTAATGGTTGAGGGGCTGGTTCATGTCCTGATACACAGATCTGTGGGCTGGGTTCAAAATACAGCCGTCGTCCTGCTGCAGGTACATCAGGAAGCCATCTTTGGTCATGCAATTGTTCTGCTTTGCTGTGACACAAATGGATGAAAGTGTTGAGTGGAAAATTGTGTATAACACAGTTGAGTTAAAGCTTTAATAATATGGTTACTATAATTGTATCATTCCCTGGTGTCCAGAGTAAGTCTACCTGTTTTATCCACTTCATATTTCTCAATCAGCCTATGGGCGTCCTCTGCAGTCGCCTGCTCCCGCTGCTCGTTCAGCAGAAAGTTCAGCAGGTCTCTGTCGCTCATCTGACCCTCTGTTTGAGCATATTTCCCATAAATGACATCAATCTCCTCACGGCGTGTCAGCATCTCGTAGAAATGCTTGATCTCTTCGCCTTCCAGGGTGTCTGAATTGGATGTGTCACATTTCTGTGCAACACAATCAGTGAATTATTTAACCAGATCTAACATTTTATGAAAGATTAACAGTGAATTTCAAAGATATATTTTGTAATTTGCTGACAAGGTCTCACCTTAAAAAGGTCCGCTGCGTATGAATCATCAACCTCAACATTGATCTGCCTCAAGAAGTGTTTCACCTCCTTTAGTGTCATCATGTTGTCGCCATTCTTGTCAGCCTTACGTATGCAGCTGAATATCCAGCTGGCATTCAGATGTAAGGATTTGATGTATTACGCACAAAAACATGCAAACACATTTCTCTATTTAGGAGTTTGCTAAGGATACTGTTCACTCTTCTTCTGGTTACTGAGGTTGTGCATGTTGTTGATGATCTTCTCCAGGCTGCTGACCCACTTATTTACATCTTCCGGAGATTCTGCCATCAGGTCGAGATTCTTCTTGCGCCCCTTGAAGATGATGGAGAAGCAGAGGTCTTCAACGCTGGCATCGGTGTATTTTTTAAGGCCCTCAGAGTGGCGGCCCTTTCGAACCGATTCAATGTCATCAATGGAGACTGTTTGGAGAGCGAAGGGGTGTTTGTTAGAAAGTGTGGCCCTGAGAAATCACTGAAGGTTAGTGTTTTAATAGCCTCAGAGTCAATATTTGGTAAGCCCATCTGTATTCTTCAATACAGCCTCTATCAAGACGATCCCACACTGCTTCAGTAATGTTGAGGAGAATGTTGCTCTGGAGAGGCCAATCCATGACTGTTAGTGTTCCAGTTTGTTATTTTCTATCCAGGTATGCTTTAATAGATTGGCAAAGTGTTTGGGATCACTGCCATGATAAAAACAAAATGAAGCCATTGCCATTCAGATGCTTTGCAGATCAAAATCTGACATGACCACTGGCTGAAATGCAGCTCCAAACAAAATTTTTTCCTCTTTCTTAATAACATGCTTTTTGGACACTTTTCATCTGCAGTAGATAGTTTTTTAGGTATTGCACGGTGGGTTAAAATCTCACTGTACTTTTCTCCATGCATAATTAATTTTAACAAGATCCTCAAAGTCACTGCACGAACTGCTCCAGTTCCTCAAATTTTTTAAGGACACACTGCACACCATGCCAGGTTTTTAGCTAGTAGTTAGTTATTTGAAAACAATCATCGTGTACAAGGAGTGAACTGAGGAAAAGTGAAAAAGCAAAATATTTTTTAAAATTCAGGTATGACACCTCTAATCTATATCATAAAAAGCAAATTGTGATTATTTTAATATATTCATTATTAACTGCTATGTTGTCTAAAATGTAACGTCTTTTATTTCTGGCATTAACAACAGCTATCAGGATGGTAGCATTCAGCCATTATTATCCCTTGACACACAGTCTTTCCTAAGATACAGTGGGGCAAAAAAGTATTTAGTCAGCCACCGATTGTGCAAGTTCCCCCTCCTAAAATGATGACAGAGGCCAGTAATTTGCACCAGAGGTACACTTCAACTGTGAGAGACAGAATGTGAAAAAAAAATCCATGAATCCACATGGTAGGATTTGTAAAGAATTGATTCGT